GAGAGAGAGAGACAGAGAGAGAGAGAGAGAGAGAGAAACATGCGCGAAGCCTTATCTTCCTCACGTTTTTGCTAATACCAAAAAAACACCAATATTCAAATGAATATAACTCTGCGAAAATCGTAGAAACCTCAATGACGTTGCGTTTTTTTAGTCTTGAAAAGCCCTTTCAAACGAGCCCTCTAATGCCATTTAAGATTTTCAACTTTCCCTCCTCCCCGTCCCTCTCGGAGGGTTGAAGTGTGTGTTTTCAAGGTTTTAAATGATAGATTACATTTCGCCATTGTAACCCTATAAATTTCAATCCAATATCTCGAACCGTTCAGAAATTATTTAGATGGCCCCGAATTTTTGGACACTGTATAATCGTAATGCGACTAGATCTATTTATTCTTTATACTCTCATCCACTAAGAATGGTTCAATGTGAAATTGAAACGTTTGAGTCTGTTGTAAAAAGGATTTATTATATATATTATAATTTAGTACCTGCATAAGGCTCATTTGTCATTATTTTGCTACTTCGTTAAAATTTTTAATATACATATATTTTATATATGTATACATATATCTTTACATATGTGTGTGTATATATATATATATATATATATATATATATATACATATATATATTAGTATAATTATCATTATCGTAAATCTATTTCTTTTTTTATACAGTTTTATTAAAATATTACTATTTGTGGGAGTACAGTAGAATTAAAGAGGGGAAATTTACAAAATCAGTTTTTACTTTTTGTTCTTAAAATAGCATATCTCTCATTCAATAATTATGATACTCGTAGATTACTGAGGCCATGGCTGCACTTGAATTGGATATACTCATTGACATCAACAGGCAAAGAACAAAAGAAGATTTTGAAGATATTACACGAATTTACTGAACGAGTACGTAAAAAGTATGAGTCTAATGAATATTGCATTGAAACATTATCTAATTTGAGAAATTACATTAAAAGTAATTTAACGTATAAAAATACAAAATTACAAGATAATTTGTAAATGTTAGCAAGACGTTATGTTAATGCATTAATATAAATCACAGATAAAGACTTAAAGTTGTACTGTTGTAGATTATTACGGAAAGAAAACTTTATCATGAGCGCACTAATGGTCGATTTTTGAAAAATTTTGATAATGACATATCGACTGAAGAGGATGATGTAGATACGATGAGAGGTACGTAATTGGAAGCTATATCTTAAATTTAACCTTGTCATCATCATCGTAGTCGGTCCCTCATGATTGAAAATCGTGACCCTTGCGGGTTATTGCAGCCGTCACAATTGAATACGTGACATGACAGGTTTTTTTGGCAATTTCTTTCTTTCTTTCTTGGCTTTCAATGCCGTTGCCTTCGGTGAGATAGTTATTGATTAAAAATCTGACATTGTTCTGGGTAAATTTGAACTCGGAGCATCTTTGACACAGATAAAACGCGCAGCTCCTATGGTGCAGCTCTTATGCCGCAATCAAATTTCTAAAATCACTTAAATTATTTTTTGCAATTTAATAATAATAATATACCTACTTTATAAAATATATTAAAATATATTAATAATAATATACTTCAAATTTCAGACATAGTTAATAATTAATCTATAGCAAATGTTACAAAGAAATATTAAGAAAAGTTACTAAGAAAAGTTATTAAGAAAAGTTAGATTAATAATGATTATTAATGCACATATTATACTTTAATTTAGTACGAAAAAAACGGCTTGCATTGTTGGATCTTCTAATAGCAGCCTCTCGAGAGGGTCTTTTGACTGATTTAGATATTAGAGAGGAAGTCGATACTTTTATGTTTGAGGTATGCATGCTTATGTAGGTTTTTATAGTTTTTTCCAAGGTATTATTTGGATGTATCTAATGCAAATAACGTGATCTTAGGGTCATGATACTACAGCGATGGGTATATGCTTCTTATTACTACTTTTGGCTGAGTACAAAGACATTCAGGTATTTTTTTTATTAAATTAGCGTTGTATTCTGATGAAAAATCCTCATAATATCATAAATTCTCATAATATTCACATATAATGAGAATTTATGATATTATGAGGATTTTTCGTACACAGAATTAAAATATTTTCAAAATTTACATACATAAAACTTCTGGAAAAGATATAAACTTTGTCAAGCAATTTTGAAAAATATTCAATTTTAAATATAATATAAATAAAATATTTGAGAGAGATTTTTAAAGAATTATAAAATTATACAGAAAGAAAAATTAAAAAATTTACATATGGATACTGCATAGAAATTCTGAAGAGTTATAAGAAAAATTTTTATCTAGGTAATTAGAAGAGAAAACTAATTAATTCTATTCAAGAAATCGTTTATTAAAATAATGAAAATAATGAGCTTTTGTTGTGTGCATGTGTGAGCTGAGCATGCATGATATACATTTTTATTTAATATATGCAAAATAAATATATAAATATATATCTTTAAATTGTTCTTATGTTTTACTTACGTAATAAATGTTCAAATATATTTCAAGTACACATTAATTAATTATATATAAACTTAGAAAAAAATCAATCAATATATCTTTAAAATAAATACAGAAACTGTAAGAATCTATTTCTGCACATTATATCAGACTAGTAAGAATTGGTTATCTAATTAATAATATGTTTACATTAATAATAT